TCCGATCCCCCTGTCCCCCCCGTCCCCCCTGTCCCTCGTGGCGTGTCCCCGCAGCCGCGGGTTTGGGGGCGCCGGGTTTAATAAAGCCGCGCAGGCCGGAGCCGGCGCCCCCCCTGGATCCCCCTCACGGGGCCGGGCCCGCTCGGCGGGTCCCCCCTGCAGTTCACAAGCACCGCCCGACACCGCCGGGGCTCCGGCCCGTCCCGACATCACACGGGGGGCTCCGCGGGTGGGGGGACAGCGGCTGCGGGTTCGATCTCGGGAATGGACCTCGGCGTCCATTCCCGGGACCGAACCCAGGAGCCGTTTGGGGCGGGGGGAGGCGGGGGGGCAGGGGATGAGGGCCCCCTCCGGAGGAGGGGGCTCGGGGAGGGGGGAGGAGGGCGGGGGCAGGGGGACCCCCCTCCGGAGGAGAGGGGGCCCGGGGTGGGAGGGGAGGAGGGGGGGAGTTCCCCCCTCCGATCCCTCTCAGCCCGGGACTCCCTCCTCCGGGGGGCGGTCGGGGGGGGGGTGGGGGGGCCCCCTCCGGAGGAGGGGGTCCCGGGGAGGGGGGGGTAGGGGGGCCCCGCCCCCCCCCCCGGAGGAGGGGGTCCGGGGAGGGGGGGGGGGGGTTGTGGGGGAAGGGGGGGAAATCCCCCTTCCCCTCAAACCCCCTCCCCTCCCGGGACCCGTCCTCCGGGTGGGGCTCCCCCCGACCCCACATTCCGGGAACCCCCCCGCCGGACAGGGGCCCCGCGGGGGGGGGGGGGGAGTAGGGATGGGTCACGTCCACTCGCAGCGTGATCAGAATTCACAGCAGCGCACTTCCCCCCTTCGAAACCCCCCCCCCACCCACCCCCCCGACCGCCCCCCGGAGGAGGGAGTCCCGGGAAAAGAGGGATCGGAGGGGGGAACTCCCCCCTCCTCCCCCCTCCCCTCCCACCCCGGGACCCCTCTCCTCCGGAGGGGGGTCCCGGGCCCCCTCTCCTCCGGAGGGGGGTCCCCCTGCCCCCGCCCTCCTCCCCCCTCCCCGAGCCCCCTCCTCCGGAGGGGGCCCTCATCCCCTGCCCCCCCGCCTCCCCCCGCCCCAAACGGCTCCTGGGTTCGGTCCCGGGAATGGACGCCGAGGTCCATTCCCGAGATCGAACCCGCAGCCGCTGTCCCCCCACCCGCGGAGCCCCCCGTGTGATGTCGGGACGGGCCGGAGCCCCGGCGGTGTCGGGCGGTGCTTGTGAACTGCAGGGGGGACCCGCCGAGCGGGCCCGGCCCCGTGAGGGGGATCCAGGGGGGGCGCCGGCTCCGGCCTGCGCGGCTTTATTAAAACCGGCGCCCCCAAACCCGCGGCTGCGGGGACACGGCACGAGGGACAGGGGGGACGGGGGGGACAGGGGGATCGGAGAGTGCAGCGGAGCAGGGACGGGGGAGGAGGGGGAGAGGGGGGCATAGGGGGGTACGTGGAGAGGTCGGGAGGGGGGTCAGGGGGCACGAGGGAGCGGGGAGGGGAGGGGGAAGCCGGGTCTGGAGGGACAGATGGGGTGGAGGGAGGAGAGGGGAGGAAGGAGGAATAGAGGGGGATCGAGGTGCGCAGGGAAGCCGGGGTCAGATGGAAAGGGGAGATCGGGTGGTGGGGGAGAGGGAGGGTGGCTGGATAAAGGAGAGAGGGGGAATAGAGGCCGTGGGTCGGGCTGGACAGCGGGGAAGGGACAGGGGAGGAAGGAGGGGTTGGTGGGGCTCAGGGGGTGTTAGCAGGGAGAGAGGGAGGGCAGGGGAAGAGCGGGTCGGGGGGTGGGAAAGTGGGACAGGGTGGGAGAGGAAGGAGAGAGGTTTGGAGTGAGGAAGAAGAGGTAGAGGAGAGGTAGAGGGGGGGAAGAAGGAGAGGTGGAGGGGAAGGAGAGTTTGGGGGGGAAGAAGGAGAAGTAGCAGGGGAAGAAGGAGAGGTAGCGAGGAAAGAAGGAGAGATAGCGGGAAAGAAGGGGAGGTAGCGGGGAAAGAAGGGGAGGTAGCGGGGCAGAGAGCTGGGAGCCCAAGGCTGCCCACCGCCCTCCCCGCGCACTCCGGGAGCAAATGGCGCCGGCAGCACTTCCCGGGGTTCAAATCACCTCGGTCCCGCCCCGCGCAGCCGCCCTGGGGACCCCCGCACCTGTGCGGGCCCCTCCCCGCTCACCTGGCCCGGCCCCGCCCCGCCCCGGCCCCGCCCCTGCGGCGGCCGCTCCTCCGGGCGCTGCGGGACCATCGCTCGGGGCGCGGGGCGGGACGAGCGAGGCGGGATCGGGGCTGGCATCGGCACCGGGGTCACCCCAGCCCGGCCGGTGCCGCTCCCGGGCCGAGCCCGACGGGCGGGGCTGGGCTCTGCTTCCAGCCCCCGAACGCGGCACTCGGGCTCTGCTCCGAGCCCCCGAACCGCCCCGGCTGCCCCGTTGCATCCCCAAAACTCGGCACCGGGGCTCTGCCCCCGGCCCCAAAGGCGGTGCCGAGTCGCTGGTGCTGAGCTCGAAATGGGGCCGGGGGAGCCCGGGTTTGGGCTGTGCCGAGGGCAGGACTTAGAGCTGAGAAACAGAGGCTCCCGCTGCCCAAAGGAGCCCGATTGGAGCTCCAAAACACGGGATTTGGGCTTTACTTCAACCCCCCAGAACGCAGCACTCCGTCTCTGTGAAGCCCAGTCTCGGGCTGGCTGACTCTGCTTTCAGGATCCCAAAACACAGGACCTGCTCTCTTTGTGATCCCAAGTGCCCCCCTGGTGACCCTGCTTTGAAGCCCCAAAACACAACGTGGGGTCTGTTTCTGACCTTGGCCAAATCAGACCCGTTTGGAGCACTTGGTCTCCATCTCTGAGCCCAAACACGCAGCACTCGGTCTCTGCCTTAAGCCCCCCAAATGCAGCACTTGGTCCCTTTTTTGGAGCCCAAATGCTGGCTGAGTGACCCTGCTTTCAAGGGCCCAGGACACAGGACTCAGTCACTGGTTCTCGAGGCCCCAAAATGCAGCACTTGGTCTCCCTGGGTGAGACCAAACACGCAGGACTCAGTGTCTGCCTCAAGCCCTGAAAGCAGCACCCAGTCGCTGTTTCTAAGCGCCCAAATGAGCCACATGAGCCCGCTTTCAAGACTGCCAAATGCAGGATTTGGTCTTGCTCTGAGCCCGATTTTTGAGCCCCCAAAATGCAGCACTCGGTCTGTCTTTGTCAGCCCAAAAACTGACCGAGTGAGTCCGGCTCTGAGCCCCCAAAACGCAGCTCCGGGTCTCTCTTTGCGAGCCCGAGTGAGTCAATCTGGTTCTGAGCCCCCAGAAGTGTCCCAGGTGGAATACGGGACCAGCAGCCGCTCGCTCACCCCCCCTCCAGGGGGAGATCAGAGACAAAAATGCAGCTCGTGGGGTGAGATCAGAACAGTTTAATAAGGGAGAAAACAAGAATAATTTAACATTAATGACGATCCATGACAGCAATGACAGTGACAGCAGCGGCAGCGACGAGAACAATGAGAACGCCGGGCCCGGAAGAGCCGCGCTCAGCGAGACGGGACGGCAGCGCCTGGTCCCGCCCCACACGCTCCTTGTATGGGCATCGTCCCGCCCCACACGCTCCTTGTATGGGCATCGTCCCGCCCCACACGCTCCTTGTATGGGCATCGTCCCGTCCCACACGCTCCTTTTATGGGCATCGTCCCGCCCCACACACTCCTTTTATGGGCATCGCCACGCCCTACACACTGTGTATGGTTCTCGTCCCGCCCCGGCACTCCTTTTATGGACATAGCCCCGCCCCAGAGCGCCTTGTATGGGCATCACCACGCCCCACAAACTCCTGTTATGGACATAACCCCGCCCCACACAACCCTATTTGGGCGTCGCCCCGCCCCAAACGCTCCTTTTATGGACATCGCCTCGCCCTACACGTTCCTTTTATGGGCATAGTCCCCACCCCACAGGCTCCTTTTATGGCCTCGCCCCGCCCTACAGTCCCCTTTTCTGGACACAGCCCCGCCCCACACTCCTTCTATGGGCACCGTCCCGCCCCCGGAGCTCTCAGTCACCCCGGTCACCGCCCCACACCCCTTTTACGGTCCCCGTCCCGCCCCTCCCGCTCCCAGTTGCCGATGTCCCGCCGAGTCTCCGCTCCCGCATTCCCGGCGGGATCGGACGCTCCCGGCCGAGGGCAGCGCTCGGGACAAGTCGCGCCGGGGACGGTCCGCGGGGGTTGGAAGCTGGACACTCGCAGCTTTCGCTGGGCACAAACCCCAGTGCTTTTGGGCACCTCTTGCTCCAGGGTTTTTCCCTGTGGGAAGAAGTTAATTAGTCTTTCCAACGACCCGATGGCCAGAGGGGAGGGGGAAAAACTCTCAGCATTCCCTAAACACCTCCAGCACTTCCAGATCCACCTGGGCCAGTGGAAGGTGTCCCTGCCCAGGGAGTGGCACTGGAGGAGCTTTAAGGTCCCTTCCAACCCAAACCACTCCAGGATTCCATCACCATTCCACCATTGCCCTCTGCCTTTATTGTCCATCACTTCCTCTTCAATTCAAATTCTCTAGCCCCTAGCCCCTCCTGGCCACGGCTGAGAACCTCAATTCACCTCCAAGCACTCAGTCTCTGCCCACCACATTACCTCAACTTTAACACCCCACATTTGCCAGACCTGCCCACCACTGATCACCTCTGTTGACCTCAACAGGTTCATTCACTCCCTGCAGAGAATCAACCTCCTTTATAAGCCTCAAAACCTGCCCTTCCAACCCATGACTGATCATTTTTAACACAAGATCTTCATTCTCTCCCCCACAGATCACCTCACATTTAACCCCCACAGTTTTCTCTACCTGCACACTACTGATTAACTCTGTTTTACCTCCAAAGGTTCATTTTCTCAACTTTGACCCCCACAACTTTCCTTACCTGCCCACTACTGACGGCCTCAGTTCACCCCAAAATCTTCCTTCTCTCTGCTACACACTGACCCACATTTTACCCCAAAATTTTCCCTACCTGACTATCAGCCAAAGGCAGAGAAAAGGCAAAGGCTTCTGAAAACATTTCTGAAACCTGAGGGATAATTACTCCCAATTTCCCAGGGAGAAGAACACAAACTCACAGCCAACAATGTCTGACAGTCCCTGCAGCCGGAGCTCAGCACATGGACAGAGAGGCAACTCCACCATCTGAAAGGAAACAAGAAAAAGAAAAGGCTGATTTATATTGATTTATAGTTATTGAAGTTCTTCAAACCAAACCAGCACTTGCTCTGGGTTTCTGTTGGGTGAATAAGGAGCAGTGGGCACAGGTCAGGTCATTCATGCCGACTTCAGTGACGCTCTCTGGGGCCAGACCAGCCCATTCCCTAAGTTCCATTCCAGCCCAAGGACGGACCTGCACAGGAGAAAACCCCTTTTCCCGAAGCCCCCATTCCAGCGGCCCCATTCCCAGCCCGGCAGCGGGTCCCGCCCCGGGCCGTGTCCCGCTGGGCCCCGCAGTCTCCGCCTGGCGGACACGGCCGGTACTGCAGCCCCGACACCGCCGCCGCTGCAAAGGAGAAAAGGCTGATTTATATTGTTTTATAGCTATTCAAGTTCTTCAAACCAAACCAACACTTGCTTTGGATGTTTGCTGGGTGAATAACGAGCAGTGGGAACAGGTCAGGTCATTCTGTCCCCCACAGATCACCTCAGATTTAACCCCCACAGTTTTCTCTACCTGCACACTACTGATTAACTCTTTTTTTACCTCCAAAGGTTCATTTTCTCAACTTTGACCCCCACAACTTTCCTTACCTGCCCACTACTGATGGCCTCAGTTTACCCCAAAATCTTCCTTCTCTCTGCTACACACTGACCCACATTTTACCTCAAAATTTTCCCTACCTGTCCACTGCTGATTACCTCAGGTTTACCTCCAAATCTTCATTCTCTGCCATGGATACTATCTCCTATCTCACCCCCACAACTTTCCCTTCCAGCCCACTCCTGATTACCTCTGTTTTTGCACAATATTTTTATTCTCTCTGCTACAGGTTGCATCAGATTTTAACCCCCAAAATTTCCCTACCTCTCCACATCTGATCATCTCCTTGATAACTAAATATCTCAATCTCTACCCTATGGACTACTGCAAGTTTACTCTCAGAACTTTCCCTGCATGCCCACTGCTGACTGCCCCAGGTCACCTCTCAATGCTCATTCTCTCCCCTGTTCACCTCAGTATGTCCATTCCCTCACTGGAGAGGTAGGAAAAACTCTGGGGGTTAAATCTGAGGGAATCTCTAGAGGAGAGTATGAACAGTTTGTGTTAAAAACCAGGGAATCAGTAGTGGGTTGGAAGGGAAAGGTTTAGGGGTTAAAAAGGAGGGGGAAGAGTCGAGAGGAATGCACAGGGGCTTTTATTACACACAAAAATCACACGCAATCACCACTGAAATGGACTTTATTGAGCTGCAACACAAATACATTCACAGCAAGAGGTGCACACAGGACCACCCCAAACTGCATCTGGCCTTGGAGGAACATCATCCTCTCACCTTACGGAGCCAGGGGAGGACATTTGGGGTCTATCCTTGGTGATTGGATCCTCCCCATAAATTCCAACTGCAGAAAATCTCACTGCCACACTTAGAAACCCTTCCAAGGGGTTTTCCCTTGGAAAATGCAAAGGTGAGGTGTGAGTACCTGGATCTCAGGGAACTGAGGGGAAGGTGGGGAAGGAGCACAGAGCAAACACCTTCAGCTGCTTCTCACTCCAGCCACTGCAGCAAGTGCAGCTTCCCTGGAATGTCATGTCCCAGCCCAACAGGTGAACAAACAGCTACTCCAAGATTTACTTCCTTTGAACTTGAGGCAGCACAGAACCCACCAGGAGGAACGGGAATCCAAGGGCACATCTAGAAATGGTCCTCCCACCTGCCACTCTCTCCCCAGTTTCTCCTTCCAGGGGGATGCAGGTGCCACTCCCCAGTGACAATAAAATAGGAGGCTGAGACAGCACAGCCCCCAAACCCTCCCAGTCTCCAGCTGCTGCACAGATCTGTGGCCAGACAGGACCCAAATCCACAGCACAGCCTTGGGGGAGATCCAGCTGCTCGTTCCCAACCCCAACCAAACCTCCAGTGCCACTGTCTGTCAGACCCTGCTCCCTCTGCCCTGAACCTCTGGCAGCCCTGCTTTGAGTCCATATCCACAAACCCACAATGCCAAGGGCAGAGCTCTCTGCCCACCAAGGACACACCACCCAGCAGGGACATTTCCATCCTCTCCAACAGAGAACTCCACACTCCACATCCAACTCAGGGAACACCAACTCTTATCCGGGCTGGGAAACCAAAGCACAAGAAACACTTAAAACCATCCCAGCCTTGAGAGCGTCTGGGCCTGGGAAAAAGCCTTTCCCACCCCGAGTTGCTCCTGGAATGCACATCCACCCCTGGGTCAGACACACTGGGGTGTTTCCTGCACACCAAACACCACAGCCCCAAGCACCAGGAGCCTGCAGATGCTCTGCACTGCGATCCACAGCCTCACTCAGCCCTACAAGGGACAGCAAAGTGGCTTTTCCTCCTCTGACAGAGGAGAACTCACAACAACAAGTGCTGGCCCAGCTGAGCAGGAGAATCCATCCTGGCTCACTCTGTTCTTGTAAAACACTGCAAACCCTGCGGGGCTGAGGTTTAAAAAGCTACATTTAGGTCACCAAAAAGCTCCCTGGCTGGGACAACTCACAGATCCCAAAATCTGCGTAAAAACCCGCAGGAAGAGGTGCTGAGCGCACAGGACTTCAAGGTGCAGCAAGCAGGGGTTCCCTGAGCTGCAGGCGAGCCCTGAGCGCGGCTTTGGGCTGCTGCGCCCTGCAGACCGTGCTCTTCAGACCAGCTCTCCGTCAGGATCTGGCTCCTCACGTGGCACCCGCGGACGCTTGCGGGCAATCAGGGCAGGAGAAGCTCCCCTTCCCTGGTCAGCACCCCCCAGTTCCTCACTGGAAGCACCAGTCCCGCTCTTACCTGCGGAAATCCACAGAGTTCTGGGTCACAGAGCAGCTCCCACGGCGATTCTCTGTCGCACCAGCAGCAGCCGCGACTCCGAGGGTGGGACACCGCCATCTTGGGGGAAAGGAGCCACCACTTCCGGTTCGGACTCTGTGGTTCCGGTTTAGTCTCGATGGTCTTGGAGGACTCATAGGTTTATTTTATTTTTTTCTTTAAATTTCGCTTTGTGGTTTTTTTTCCTTATTTATTTTTTTTTTCATTTTGTTGCACTTCTTTTTGGAGCAGGAGTTCGGGATTGCTTAGGGGCTGGCGGCTGAAAAATGCCCCCCTCCCCAGTTCGCATAATTAATTCCTAATTCGCACCATACCTCATAAATAGCTATTATTAATAACTATTAATAAATATTCTTTACTATGTGTTGCATTAATATACGTTGTATTGCTATTAAATAATTATTATTGGATAATAATATAATAATTATGTCGTCTTATTATTAAATACTATTATTCATAACTATTATTAATAACTGTTAATGAATGCTCCAGATGGGAGTCAGTGGGGTTCCTGCGCTCCAGCCAGTGCCAGGAGATGTCTCCTCCCTGCTGCAGGGACATCCCCCGGGGGAGGCTGCAGGACGCGGGATAGTTAGTTTTTAATTTTTAATATTTTTTTTAATTTTTATATTTGACTTTTACTTAATTTTCCTTTCTTTTTAATTTTTTTGTTTCATTGTTCTCTTTAATTTTATTTTCTAATTTCTTTGCTTATTTTTTTATTTATTTTCCATTTTATTTATTTTATTTTATTTTATTTTATTTTATTTTATTTTACATTTATTTTATTTTGTTTTATTTTATTTTATTTTTTCATTCTATTTCACGTTTCGGGTCCCCTGGAGACCCGGCGAGATTGACAGGCGATGCAGCCAATGGGACCGTGGTACTGCCGATGGGGGGCGGGGCGAGCCGCGCGGTGACCAATGGGAGAGCGGTGCGCAGATCAGGGCAGCCAATGGGCAGGCGCCGCGCGTTTGCGCGGCCAGTTTGAATCGCGGGAACGGTTGGAGCGAGATGGCTGCGAACGGGCGGTGAGAGGGATAGCGGGATTAATGGGATCGGGGTCGGGATAACGAGACTGGGAGGGTGCCGCGGCCAACGGAGCTGTGCTGGGGGCCGGGGGCTCACGGGACTTGGTCCCCCCTCGGGCTCTTCCCGCTCCTCCACGATCCCAACCCGACCTGCCCTTTTCCCTGCAGGAACTACGAGGCTCAGATTCGGAATTACCAAGGTCCAGACCCGCTGGAGCCCTGGGACAGGTGAGCACGGGTCCGGCCCCGGTGTTACCCATTCCTGGCTCAAGAATTGCCCTGGCTCAGGAATTGCCCCCACCCTGGCTCAGGAATTGTCCTGGCTCAGGAATTGCCCCCACCCTGGCTCAGGAATTGTCCTGGCTCAGAAATTGCCCCCACCCTGGCTCAGGAATTGCCCTGGCTCAGAAATTGCCCCCACCCTGGCTCAGGAATTGCCCTGGTCCAGGTATTGCCCCATCCCTGATTTAGGAGTTGCCCCGGTTCAGGTATTGCCCCCTCCCTGACTAAGGAGTTGCCCTGACTCAGGAATTGCCCCATCCCTGATTTAGGAATTGCCCCATCCCTGGCTCAGGAATTGCCCTGGCTCAGGAATTGCCCCGGTCCAGGTATTGCCCCATCCCTGACTCAGGAGTTGCCCTGGTTCAAGAATTGCCCCACCCCTGACTCAGGAATTGCCCCCACCCTGGCTCAGGAATTGTCCCGGCTCAGGAATTGCCCCCACCCTGGCTCAGGAATTGCCCCTGTCTAGGTATTGCCCCACCCCTGACTCTAAAGTTGCCCTGGTTCAGGAATTGCCCCCATCCCTCTCTCGGGCAGTTCCCTGGCTCGGTGCTGACCCTGGGACGTTTCCAGGTACGCTCAGTGGGCAGAGGGATGTCTCCCGCTCCAGGAGAAGCAATCCCTGTGGCCCAGGCTCCTGGAGGACCTGGTGAAGACATTCCTGGATGACACGAGGTACCAGCAGGACCCGCGGTTTGTCAAGTACTGCATCAAGCTGGTGGGTAAAGCTACATTTTTCGGGAATTAAACCGTCCTAAAGTATTAACGGAGCAGTTCTGGGGCTGCAAAGGGCTGTGGGAGGAGAGGGAGGCCTTGGGGAAGGGCATGGAATTCAAATTCCCTGCAGAACCTGAGTCTTGCTGAAGGGACAGTGTGTTTTTAAGCTACCTCATTGTATCTTGAGAGAGGAATTTTAGCTGCTTTTATCCTTAAAACGTTACACCTCCCTACGACGAAAACTAAGAAATTGTTGCTTTTTCTTTTCTTTTTTTTTTTTTGCCTTGGGTGGTTTTTTTTTGGAAGTTCTTACGGCTTGTGCACCTCCTCCTGTGCAGGCAGAGTTCATCTCTCCCCCTGGCCAGTACTTTGAGTACCTCCACGGGCAGGGAATTGGAGCGAAGTCCTCGGATTTCTACGTGGCTTGGGCTCAGCAGCTGGTGAGCGAAGGCAACACGCAGGGGGCAGGAGCTGTGCTTCAGAAAGGGCTCCACAACCAGGCAGAGCCCCAGGAGAAGCTGCAACAGCTCCACTGGTAACTCTGAGACCTCTTTTCCTCACCCATAATGCTCATTATTACTCCTAATTAACCAGACATGGCATGCGGCTCGTTATTTTCTGTGCTGTAGCAGAGGCAGATTGATGGTTGTTTTTACTAAATATTAATGAAATACTTCTCTAGTGTTCAATATTTGTTGGGTGTTTTGGAAGGTGTATGGAGAAAAACTGCCCCAGAGTGTCTTCAGTGAAATAGGGCCCAGAAAGCAAATCCCTGAGCTCAGAGTCTTGGAGTTTTCAGAATTTAACTGGGAGGAGCTAAATGCAAGAAACCATGTAAAATGTAATGTAAAATGTAAAGCAAACCCCCCACTTTCTCCTCCTGCTGCCCTTTGCAGCCCTTTTTAGTTTTGTAGCTGTGGAAGGAACAGGAGATGTCCATGTGCAATAAAAATCCTGGTTGTCACTGTTACATTTCAGGGCATGATTGCACTAGGAAATCCAAGATTCCTGGGAGGTGGGAGGAGAGGGAGGCAGAGGATTTCATGGTCATAACTGGCATTTTTTTGTAATTTAGCTGGTTGCAGAGTTCCAACCCTGGGAATCATCCTTTGCAAGGTGAGGCTGAAAACACCTGTCTGAGTTGTAACTCCACTAAATGAATCTTTAGCTCAATCAGTTTTGCTGTAGAAGAAAATAAGTTTTCTGCTTCATTTTCCCCCCTGTTTTCCTGACCATATTAAAAATTCTTGAGGAGACTGTATTCAAAACAAGTTACTAATTTTCCAATGCTTCCAGTCAATAAAAATGCATCAGTGAGCAAATGATTTCTGCTCATTTAGTGAGTAGAAATATTTATATTATGTTTTCCTGTCCCAGGTGTTGCTGTCATAAAACCACTTCAGACTTCCAATAATGTGAATCAAATGGCTCCTCAAAAAGAGGGTTCAGATGTTAATCCCTGCAAAAATCAGGTAAATTACGAAGAATTTGGGCACTGGGGGAAAGGTGCTTCATAAAAAGTTTTTGGATTGAGGAGCTTGGCTGAAAAAGAAAGATAAAATACAGGAGTGTGGTGTGTCTTAAAGCTGCTCCTGATGTTTTCCTGCTGCACTACATCTCCATAGGAATGTGTCATTATTCTTAGAAGGAATAATATTATCAATGGATTCTGTGCCAGTCGTGCCGCTTGGATTTTATTTTCTTTTTCAGTTTGATGTTTTATCCCCCCTTGCTCTGCTTTAGGGTCCTGATGCTGCTGTTTCCCAGCCCTGTCCTGCTGGAAAGGAAGAAGTGTAAGTGTCTGGGTGGGTTTTTTTTTAAAGCCACGCCGTGTGAGAGCAAACTCGCCCCGAGGATAAAATCCAGCAAACCTGACCCTTTCCTGCTTTCTTCCTGCCAGGAGGTACATCACCTACATCTCCAGATCCGAGGTGCTTCCCAAGCCACCTTCTCCTGGTGCCGCTGAGCGTAAGCAGGTCCCCATGTACGCCAAGGACCTGCTGCTGTGCGAGGGCTCCGAGCTCTCCTTCGAGGAGCTGAGGGCCAAGAGATATTTCAGGAGATACGAGCGCCTCAGGAGGCAGAAACAACTGGGTATCCCTCTTTTTTCCACCTCTCCAAACAACTCCTTCCTGGTTCAGCTCATCCCCTGGGCTGGTCTTTTCGAGCCCGGGTTGTCCTGGTGGTGTTTCTCCCGAGGGACAGTGAGCAATTAGTGCTAAATATTGTGGTGCAGACCAAATATATCTGTATTATAAATACAAGCAGCTTGTAACGACCACATTGAGAAACCCAGGATGAATTGTTTCATTGAATATCGTTGTTTAATCCTTAGAGGAAGAGGAGAGAGAGACCATGAGGAAAAAGGAGTCGGCTATGCTGGAACTCCAGGCCCTGCAGAAGAGGCTGGAAGAGCTCACCCAGCTCAGCAAAAGCCTGGAGGAAACCAGGCTGAAACCAGGAGCTGAACCAATCCAGAGGGTGGTGAGTGTGTCCTGGGATGGGCAGGGGATTTGTCCCACAAAATTTAACCGTGCTTGAGGAACCAGAGTGGATTGTCAACCAAATCTGGCAGTTCTGGCTGCAGTACTAACACAGACACCTGGAGCAACTTGGAATACTCAGATTTTAGTGGTTACACCCCAAAGTTTGGGTTTGCATCTCTAGAGTCTGGTTTTAGAAAGTTCTCCACAGTGTGCAAAGCTGTTCTAGTCGTGCAGAACTGAAGGGCAAATGGCAGTGGCTGTGCCTGGGGGGTGTTTGGGTGTCGAGGGACGTTTCTCGGCTGGACTTTGTGGGATGTTTGAGCGTCATTTCTCACCCCTAAAGGTGCTCCCGTGTGCCAGGCCCAGCACAGCCCTGCCAGGGAACTGCGTGGCACCCTCTCCAACCTCAGGTGTGCCCGAGGTGCCAGAGCAGCCCCAGCCCAGTGTTGGCCCAGCCCCTGCTCCCACCCTGCTGCCAGCAAAGCCCCTCGGCTGCCGGGTCCCGTCGGCCTCCTTGTGGGAAGGAAGGGAGGAGAAGGA